ATAGCTAGATGAAATAAAGCATTGTTTATTTATTACACGTTTGTTGGAGGTTGCTAGCTTGTGGATTACATACTCTTGCTTCAAAGATGGAATAATAAAGGTGGTCCGGTTATCGGTCATGCAAGAAGTACATTGCTTTTGTGATACAATAAGGAGGAGTGGGAAGTGGGATGAGCTTGAGAAGAGAAAAAGTGAAGAGATCCCTCCATTGAGTTTCAGGATGAGTGACCCATTCAATATGTATACGTATCTTTTTACATATACAAATTGGTTTATGCAGCTCGACCTTCTCCTACATGCAAATGTGATACATACCTTGACACACCTTCATGGTTGGATGCTGTTTTACTTACGTACCTTCACAAAAGGCAATCATCATCATCATCCATTTGTGTAGCAACCTGTCAAGGACGCGTTTGTGTAACCACCACGTGCGGTTTCACTCAGCTCTTCATCTTTCCGTTAATGCAGCCGTCACCATCCACTAGGAAAAAGCAACTCCATCACGCTTACAGCATAGGTAAAACATAAAGACGCCTGTATCTCCAAACTTTACAATGAAACGTGTGGTTTTTATTACAGCAATGGGCTCGGCTTGGCCAACAGCACCTTGTGTGAAAGTTTCACGTTCAATGTCGCAACTAGCCCAAAAAATATTTTTTGGTCGTCGTCGTCGAAGAGGTTGACCCCCAGATCCAGTTTGGCTGGTAGCGACATTGCGAAATCTGGGATCGCCCACGATGAACTTCATACTTTGACACAAGATTCCTTTGACCCCGACAAGCACGTTGATCTACTAAAGAGCCCACGTTTGATTGTAAAGTTTAAAGATACAGGTACCTTTATGTTTGTAAGCGTGATGCTATATGAGAAGTGGTCTTTGTTTAATGTAAAGTAGCATGACTATAATAGAGCAAAAGATGCAGAGGGCGTGTTTGTGTAATTTGCATAATCCCTACGTGGCTTTCCCTGACCCTCTCATCGTCTTCGCCATAGCTCTAATGATAATCATCCGCTTTGTCTCCAACAATTCTCCTTGTCATGGTGTGTCATTCACATTGTATGTATGCCAAGATGAAAATTGATACATCTTTATAATCGTCGTAGTCGTGATCTCCCCTCTCTTTTACATTCAACAGTAACTCGCGGTGATTTCTAATAGTAATCCTTCTTTTATATGGATTGAGAAATATAAATGCTGTACGCTAACGTATGTCAGAAGAAATATCAAATGCATGAAAGCAGCCCGTCCAATGGACTACAAAATGTAGGGAAGGTGAGTTTAACTAATTCCTTTGTCGAATGAGAAAAAAGGTCGCTGGTCTTACCGTACCAATCGTTTCCCAACGCTCTTGATCTGTTGCCACCTCTTGAGCATCCACTGAGAATTTACATCACTCTACCCAACACGTTCCAAATGAGATCACGTATTCACACTTACGATTTCAATGCACGTACCGATTGATGTATTTGATCCATGTGCTTCCTTGATATGTTGCTGACCCTGAAATCCTTGTTCAGTCTTGGGTATATGCCATGAATATCATTGCTGATCTACGTCCTTCAAGCAGTTTCTCTAGAACTTGTTGGATCACCAACATCTTGTAGTTTTGATGATGATTGCATTGGTGGCAATGTTACAGAGCTTGTCTCAACATCTTGCATGGATTTGATCCTGGAAGCCGTCTCATTGTGAAGTCTTGTCGTAACATGCATGATTAATAGCCTTCTTTGAAAAATGTAGCATCAATACAACGACTCTGCGTACTCATAAAGAATCTTACATTTATCTTCACTTGATGTTTCTTGATACATAAATGATACTCGGGAACTTGTCGTTGTATCCAAGTAGGTCATTGTGTGGTAACTGACAGGGTTGTAGGTGAAGGCATGTTGACAAAGAATTAGAGTCGCTGAGTGGATCGACTCGAAGTTCTCATCATTGCATCATCTATCCATAGCCATTGCAAGCCCAATAAGAAAAGATCCTCTGTGATCGCTGCTCATGTGGAGGAGGCTGCGAGGTGTCGCCACGCATAGCAACGTAGATGCATAATTGATCGATGTACCAGCGGCTATCAGATAAAGGTATCATTTAAAATGAGCATCACGCCATACGACTCCACTAATCATCATCTTTTTACCTTGGCAAACTGATCGAATCGCCATAGAACTTCTTGTAATAGCGTGCTGTTGGATAGTGATGCGTATATTGATGCATGAAGTGATATGACGTCTAGCGCATGGAATCGTTGTTGTGGAAGGTATATGGCTGATGGATGCTGTAGTATCGCACCAAGGAATACGCCTTTTGGACCTGGTTGCTCATCGTCACCAAGCCCGCAACACAATTCGCGCTTTTGTTTCTCTGCTTGTTGGCATGGCTCATAAAAAGCGAATGTCGATGGGGACATGTATGTGCTGTCATTGTTTGAAAATGGGTCGTGATGGGGAAGCAGTTGTTGAGTAAGCCATTGTTCAAGTTGAAAGGAGAAGAGCATTAAATTTCAAGCGGCCACACAACTTGCCATTTTTCGTCGTCATCTGGGCGTTACACTTCCCCTGTCGCCGTTGCCCTGGCAACTACGATATGCGAGTTCTAGCAACTTACTAGACCTGAATCAAAACTACAAGTTCGATTAGGAACCCAAGTTCAATGTTCCCTGCTGCATCATCACCTTGCATAATTGTTGAACCCCATCCCTCACGTCTCAAATGCTTGAATGCGAGTAAAGCATCATCTTCCTTGCCATGGATTACCTTTGGTAAATGCATTCACGAGCAATATGAATGTGCATCATTTGCAGCACCGTGTTGGTCATCAAATATGAGATCATTTATTGTATCCAAAATACTGCTTTGTTCATATCACCATCACCATCATCGTAATATATGTAGATAACGAACAGTATTAGATATCTTTTGAGGGCTTAATCCCATTGCATATTGTTCCCACCAATATCCATCTCGTTCATCAGTGTAAGGGGACTCAAGGCAAACCTGTACCAAGGAATACAATGATTTTAAGGTATGGTGTCAGTCAGTCAATCACAGACGCTTCTTGTTTCGACACCGCTCACTTTCCCCACACACACACTCCATGGCTTCCAAAGGCAAGCATACGCACATGCATACACCCCAATCGACGTTTTATTTACAATGGAGTACAATGCTATAATAGATTCGACAAACCAGTCATCCTTCTTCACCAGTGTATCGTCCACACTGTCGTCATGGTCGTCATCATTGCAAAAAGAGACCGAGCAGAGTTTCCCAGGCACTATGAAACGCTTTGGTGACCTTACACAACTTGTACAGCAAAAGGCACGTGAATTCCCATCCAACATTGCCAATCTACCAAGTGCTCTTGAAGCCGAGCATCAACAATTTGTCAAGGGCAACCTTGTATCAAAGAATGGGCGATCAGGTACCACTTGCCACCTTTTTATTGTCTCTCGTTTACAAACTCAACCTCGTATCACACCCCCCCCCCCAATAGAGCTTGTAGCTCCATGGCAAGGATATGGTGCATATGAAAAACGTATCAAGCAGCGGGTATTAGCATTGTCCAAGGTATAAAGAATGAGCGATCCAAGGCATATATTAGGTACTTACTCATTGTATATTATGCACCCCAGGATGAGCGTAACCTTACTATCCCACCGCCCGAAGATACGAGCTTCCAATTTGATATCAAGGCATACAGTCAATCTGCTGCTGCTGCTCTGAAATACGATCCTGAACTAGCAAAACTGCGTTTTCGCCTTGTACCACAACAGTAAGTCATGCGCATATTCATCATGTATCATTATTCACGCAAGGGAACGATTAGTGTGACCGAACCCACTTTTTGGAGAAATTACTTTTATCGAGTGACCTTGGAAAAGCAAGCAGCATTGAGTTCTACTGATATTGACCCCAACGATACTTCCGAGGTACTACAATGGATAGGCTTGTTGATGGATTCACCCTCGCTAATGCATTTTAAAAGGAGCCCCAAGACGTCTTGTTTGATTATGCAGCTAGTGATGATGAGGAAGACAATACAGAGCAAGAGAAAAAATCACAACCCAAACCCGCCATACAAAAGGATCAACCATCAGAGGAGAAGAAAGATGAGAACAAGAATACAGCTTCTTTGGACACAAAGCCTGACGATCGCAACACCTCCTCAGAACCCAAAACAACAGCAACAACGACAACTGAATCGAAAGATTATGATGGCATGGAAGAATGGGAACGCGAGCTTAGGAAAGCAGCAGGAGAATTTTAAACTAGATAAAAGACGTGTTGTATCATTATACCTTGGTTATCGATGATGATCTCTCCCCCCCCCCTCATAATATATGTATACCAGAACTGAAGCTATGGATGTGTTATATAAAAGTGATGGGCAAGCTAGCTACATGTAGCGTTGAAGGAAGGGGACCGTTTGAGATAATAGTACGCTTCATCATCGACAATTTGATCATCACTACCCAGCAAAGTCTTGAATCTAAGGACACCAACACGCCACATCTGCATGCATTATCAACGTTTCATCATGCACATCCCAACCTTGATCATCCAACAACTCCAAAGCGTGATGGTGGTTATGTATTCATTGTTCTTGTTCTTTGTCCTATTTCATAAAGACACGCAAACGCCTTCATTGGGTCTCACATACCCTCTTCATCTTTACCCACTGCATGTCTCTACTTTACATACATAACAGCGGCGCAAAAGCCTTCATCACTTTGCCAGAAAATTTAAAAATCCTAGTCGATACAGCCACTTCCACGCAAAATCGAAGGAACAAATCATTGCAAACGCTTTTCGAAGGCTTGAGCAATCGTTCCTTCTATTGCAACGAAACCAACAAGAGCGACTCCAATCCCATAAATTGCATAAACCTTGGTGTCTTGGTGTGAATAAAGTGACCAGTATAGCTGAACAACCTTATTAATATCAAAGAGCGAGCATCGATGGATAGCCTACGTAATAAAATGATGCTGAGCGGATCGATTTATTCAAACATGCTATGCATTCCTCAGACAAAATACAGACGTTGCCATTGTCATCTGGACTCTCTCGTGCATCCAAAATAGCGTCGTAGTACTGTATGCAGAGAGCAAGTCGTGTGTAATGATTTTTAAAGTAGTGAAAAGGATCATCACTCTCAACCCCTTACTGCATGCACACCCAAACGAGCCTCCTTGCCAAAGCTGTTGTATATGTACTGTATCTCGAGAAAGGGAATGTTTATTATTGTCAATTACATGGTACAAAGAGTATAATGTGCACAAAAGGTTGGGATGTCTTTCTTCAAATCATATGACCTTCAATGATATAGGAGCCGATTGTTTTCCTATCCGCCGTACGCACTCGAACCATATATCGGCCGTCCGGAAGCTTGAGATAAAAGTTTGAGTATCCAGCCATCATGTTATCGTGCAAGGTTGAGTGATTGAATGATGTCGAATGGTTGCTCCCAGTGGTAGCAAATGTGGAAGCTGAAGCTGTGAAACGGTCATAATTGCCAAGGGTGGAACTTGACGATAATTGCGTGCTCGGTATGATGCTGCTGCTGTTGCATGAATAGAATACATTTGAATATTCAGCGGCACATCCTTCTTGTTGACGATGTTTGGGGAATGCTCGTTTGATAAAAGGCAGACGTTGAACTAATGACCAGGCCATGTTGTATGTGGTATATCAAGTTATGGTGACGAAAATGAGCCCATTTTATACCTTGGGAGAGGGTGGTGCTACATAGAGGGTCCATGCTTGTCAACCGTCAACAAAGATGCAATGCTTGTCGTATCTCCCTCCTCCAACCCATCCCTTTCTTCAGGACCTGTACTTCCAGGAGAGAGACTAAAGTAAATTATGATGATGAGACCAAAGTGAATTTCAATACGACCTATGTGTAAACATATCGTGCATCCTTCTCCTGTCTCCCTTTCAAGGGAAAATTCTCATTCGAATCCCACGTGGTACAATATGCAAAGCAAGGTAAAAAAACGATGATGAAATGCGACAATAACAGCAGCGACGGGATGTTATTTATTCAATGGATGTGTGTGTGTGAGTGAGAGAAAACGTATCAATAACTTGCTAAAGTCGTCTCTTTTGCAACCATTCGTTCGCCTCCAAAAACATGGCAGCCGCTTCACTTTCAGTATCCTTGACCGCGTTAAGACCCGCCACCAAACCATCCCAGAATTTGAATGCTTGCTCAAGGTCTTGTTTGACTGATTTGCATAGTGGGAAAGCAGATTCCACAGCCTGGATAGCAACACCAGCATCAGATGACAAGGTATGCTCCAAATATTGCTTGGTAACCAAACCCATGGCCACATTCACATCCGAAGCATAAGGTAGACTATGATACTTGTATAAGCACACCATGTTTCTCGGATACCCATTCCGTCGTATGATGCTGTAGTGCATAGATGACAGTGCTTTGCTTACCTGTCGGCGATATCGAAATAGTCGGTACGTTCTTTTTCAGCCAAATTGTTGAGGAAGAGGGAGAGCACCAACATTTCACACAGGTTGCGATAGCTCTTGTTCAATGCCTTGATAAAGCTGTTGAATACCAACAAGTCACGATCAAAGGGTCCTTTCCATGCTTCAGGCTACCAATAAGCACTCGTTAGTCGCTTGTATATCCTTATGGATCACTTGACATAATACCTTGATATCCATGGGCAAGAGTGACAATGCACGACTGATTAAACGGATATGGCGTTGATCGTTTTCTATGACAGGTGAGGGGTATGCATATTAGCATGCGTGTAATGAATGATGGGTGCGGACATGATGTTCCGTATTCCATGTATGCACAAGGATAAAAATAGCTTACCATCTCCAGCAATGCGAGAATAGGACTTTGTATAAGGTTTGTTCGTCAACACTTCAAAGCGGATCAACTCCATGGCGGTCAACAGAGCTTCTTGCGTGTGAAATGTAGGCTTGTTCTTGTTGCTCGAGGCGGTGGTGGTCAAGGCTACTTGCAATGCATGGCCCCATGGCGTGTGTATATGCTTGGATGATGTCAAGAAACTATAAACAGAATGTCAACCCTTCATTGTAAAAAGTGCGAAAGTTGAGGGTCTCCTTACTCGCGGATTTCAAGTGTTTTCCACAAGACATTGGCCACGATTTCATCTTTTTGTTGTAGGACCTATGCAAAATGATATCAGGTTAATGACAAGTCTGTGGCGAAATAAGCTTGTCGAACCTTGTCAGAGGGCGTTTGAGAGATGGTTTTTGCTGCATTGGTCTCGTTTTCAGTTGCTTTCATGCAAAATGCAATGTCCACCGTCGTTGTCTATAAAAGGAAATGATCAGCAACAACAACAACAGCATTTTAATGTGTCATTGCCTGCTTACATCTTGGTTCTTTTTCTCAGCATCCAAAACATCTTGAGTGACGTGCCATGAACGTGTGCTCTCAAAGACCGTATTGAGTAATGTTGCATTTTTACTGGGAGAGCTGCCATTGCTTGTAGGATTGTAATTGGGATGGTGATGCATGATGTGCTCGGTTGTAGGATCAAAATAGAAATGGCTGGCGATTTTGCGTGATTGATAGAATTGATGAAGTGGTTGTGTAAGAAGGCTAAGCGTTTGGGTGCGGATGCCGAGTAATCCCAAGAGGAAGTTGCGATATTCAGTTGTATCACCATTATCTAACGGAGCATTCTCGATCAAAACGCCTGAGACCAGTGTATTGATAGACTACTTTGCATGTAAGAAGCTTGGCTTTTTCTTTTCTCCACTGCATGATAGCTTACCTGTGGGCTAATTAGACCTCGCATCAAATAATAGTACAACTCGTCAGGAAGTCGATATCCGATAAACTCGTGGATGTCATTGGGTGCGTATTCCTTGTTGAGTGGTCTCACTTGGCCTTCATCAGTGATAACGGGATGGTACTTGATGACACATCTTGCGCGGCAAAACATGTCGACATAGTGGCTCTTTGAAACGCTTGGATCATCCACATAGGCTTGTACTGTATTGAAGCCGGTCTTGTGATGCTTGACAAGATCATGAACATCTTTATGACCATACATTAATTTCTCATCCATTTGATCCCCCTTTTTTCTTCTTCTTACCTTTGAATGTAAAGCCCATACTCATTGCACTGTGATTCAATGGAGGAAAGCTGTTACAGTATTCGAAACCGGCCAAGAGACAAATATCAAGGAATTGGTCGTCTGAGACATGAAGATCTTGTAACACGGTCTTTTTGCTCATCCACATGTAATTTCCTTTCTATACCACGCACTATAAGCATCCTATTTCCCCCTTGATCCATTTCAAACAATGCCATCCTACCTCAAAGTCAATGGATGTAATGACTTTATCCACATCAAACATCAATAATTCGGTGCCACCATATACAGCGCTGACGATTTGTCTGGGATGAGTATACATATAGGCGAGCTATATTGAATTCGATATTAGCGATCTGTGATTCATTCCTTCCTCCATGGCTCGTGCGCACACGCGCCAATTACCTGGGCCCAAGCTGAATAAGGAGCACGTATAAATTCAATGCCGTGTTCGTGAAGGATGTGGCATACGTAGTTGCAAAGATCGGCAAGATGAATGCCTCCACCGTTGCCCCAAGCCTGTAAAGCACTATCCAATCGATTCTTGTCATAGAGGTCCCATCCGTTGGCACGTGTCGAAGGTCGTCTATCCTCAAACGAAAAGGGTTTGTCCTTGCGAAGAATCGACAAGCCGGGAAACACAAAGATGGGCTGAATGTTGTTGGCTCTATTATAGACGCAAAGGAATCAGTAACATGGCTCTCCCATCGATGGCGTTGCTCACTCACTTGAATGCCTTGATTTCGTTCTCGACCGTGTCCTTCAACTTTAAGGGCATTCCTCCCATGGCTGTAACAGCAGGATCTTTGCCAAGGATCTTACGAAGCCAATAGTTGCCTTCAATGCCTAGTCTCGTGTCCTTGAGTTGCTGTACGCCTGATGTCTGCAATAGTCGCCTTTCAGCTGTGAATACTATAGCATGCCATTAATAAAGACGATTGGTTTGTGACAAGAATGGCGTGAGCTTACTGTCAAAATGTCGGATCGGCATAGTGTGTAATAAACCGCGTATGCTAAAGAGGAGCAAGTGTTGTCGGAACACCCCCACCACGACGACCACATACTTCTTTAACTCCGTGTACAAAGCATGCATTTCCCAATCTTTTTGCTTCATTGTGGTCATTTGTTTGTTATGGATCAGGCCATTCCCTTTCCTTCGTGAGTGTATGACCCCTTCCATGAACGCACATACATACATAGTAGCATATTATTATAAGCTCCTCCACCTCTTCTTTTATTATCTTTTCATTTGCAACAACATGCTATCTTTGGGATACTGCCAGTAATTGGATACATGACCATTATCATGCTTTCAAAGTGCCTGGATGTGGTATGTTACAAAGTCATCATGGACCTTATTACTTGAGATGCCTGGTAGCAGACTTTATGATGGATTGGATCACCGTTCTCTTCCCGACTGACAACTCTTTTTCTTTTTGATACCCCCCTTCTCTTCCCTTCAAGCTACTATGGCCGATCTCCCTGATCGTGAGCTCTATCTTCCCGCAAAGTACAGCCACCTGACACCACACGAATACCTCAAGACTCTCATTGCATTCGTCAAGCAGTACGACTACCTGATCAACCTCCACATTGTCAACTTCATTACCACAGACCAATGGCAACTTCTGGATCCCGAGTGGCGAGCTGCTTTACTACCAGCCGATGTCAACAATGAAGATGATTGGATTCAACAGCTTATCAATATCACATCAGGGAATACCGAGAATGTAGGTGTCTTTTGCATCATATCTCTCACCACATGCAGTATAGTAACCACATCCAAAACGATATAGGATACATGGCCTGCTTCATTGAAGGAATACGTTCAGCATACCCGGGACATGGCATTACCACGAGGATTCCTTTCAGACTGTTGAGTATGCCGAGCATAAAAGGGAGGAAAATGGCATCTAACATCACGTGATTTCTATAGATGATGTTGACGTATGTCAATTGGAGCAAGACTATCAGCGTGGAATGAATGATAAAAAGATTCATGAGGTAAATGGATGCCATGCTTATGCTATGGAAAGGAGTTCTAACTAAGTCATACGGGAATAGATTGGGTTCATGAGCACATTGATTGATCGTGTGGCTACTCGAAGGAATATTGATTCGGTGATGGATCTTGGTGCAGGACAAGGATACCTTGCGCGTGCGATTGCTTGGAAGTATGGTCTACGTGTATTGGCTGTTGATGGCTCTGAAGTCCAAACATGTGGCGCCAAACGCATTGATCAAAACATCCTCAAACGAACTTGCAAGCAAAATGGTGAGGTCCACCACGTGACTGAAATGGTGACACCCGAGAACATATCCAGCATTCTTTCCAATTGGCAAACCAGCAACGATCAACAAAGCGAGACAAAGGAGCCATGGTTATTATGTGGATTACATGCTTGTGGCGATCTTTCAAGCCTGATGTTGCGGTTATTTGCCGAGAGCGATGAAATGGGTAGCCTGGTGAATGTGGGATGTTGTCATCATTTCCTTACACAAGAAGAAGGATTCCCAATGTCAGCGTTTGTCAACAAAGAACTTGGATACCAGCAAACATCGACAGCTCACATGTTGGCTTGTCAAACACCATCAAGATGGACCGATCGTGCTGAAGAAACTCTAAAGTCATTTGAACATCACTTTTTTCGGGCACTGTTACAGGTAAATGGGCGGGGGGGGGTTGAAGGGTTCTACATAGGATGATGAGGATGCTCATGCTTTCTTTTTTTTGTTAGCATATCATGGTAGAAAAGGGGCTTACACCTGTGGATAAGGCACCAATCGTGGGTCGACTCAACAAGAAAAAGGACTTTGTATCATTCCCGGTTTATGTGTGTGCCGCCTTGAAAAGATTTGGGTTGCCCGAGGATACCATTTCAGCGCAAGAAGCCGAGGCTTATTACGAAAAGTACAAGCATCACAAACAAATAGATAAGCAGATTGCCGTACTATGGACTATTCGAGTATTACTGGCACCCGTTTTGGAAAGCATTATTCTGCTGGATAGGTGGTTGTATCTCAAAGAGTCACTTTTGCAGTATCCGGATACAAAAACCAAGGGCGTGTGGATGTGGCCATTGTTCGATCCCATCATTTCACCTAGAAACACTGTAATCGTAGCTTCCAAATAAACTTTTCTTCTTTGTTGACATCACTCATATACTATGCTTGCGTTCCACCAGGTACACCTTGGGATGTAATGACGGTATCTTACATGCTGGTCTAGACTTTAATGTGTATGTATGTTCATTTCACGCTGAAAAGCAGCATTCATTCGTACTCGGGAGGAGCGGCCTTATTATGTATTATTGGTGAGCAGCTTAAAGCAGTGATTAAACATTCGGCATGATATTGACGGCCATGGGTTGATTCAAAAGCATGTACTTGGCAAGGAGTAGTAATAGTAGTAGTATCATTACAGCAAAAGAAATCGCCACATGATTCGGATCACAAGAACTAAAAAGCTTGTCCAGCCATGGATACTGTAATAACAACCCGATTTGTATTAGAGTTGACAAGGACTGTCTCAAAATGCCGAGCCAATTGCATTTAGGTTCTCCTGGCGGTGATCAGCATTTATCATTGCACTTGCCATCTCCCCAGCTGTATCAGCCTATATATTATGGATTGCATAAGATGAGTAAAAGGGGGGCAGGGGAAGTGGTTTATTTCTCCCAAACGACTGCATCTCGGTTTTTTTGTTATTACAGAAAGGGGGGAAAAGGTGAAAGGGGGGATTTGTATATAGGTTGAGTTTGTTGAGTTAGACTAGAGTGTGTGTGTGTGCCATCATCACACATTTAACGATGCTTTGCCCTATGGGCGTAAGCACAACACCTTATATGAAAAGGATAAAGACACACCCAAGAGGGGGGAGGTGGTGCATATACTTGATGAATTGCAAAGGTCCTGCATAGTAGACACAACAACAACAGCAACAACAACAACAACCATCAGCCGAGCGGGACCCGATGCCATCTTGCATGAGTTGGTGTCTCATATGATCTCGGTTCACTAGCGCCCTTACTTGTATGCATAATCACCCTGTGTGTATGTTCACCCCGTATAATGTGGCGACAATCATTACAAAAATAGGCAAGAGGACCAGGTATCGATTTTACAATCTAAATTGAACCAATGTTTCTATTGTGCCAAAAGAAAGTTGTTACTGCACCTTCATCAAGAAAGCGTCGTATGTAGTACATTACAACAACAGCAATAGTCAATGTAAGTGGAACTTTTTCCTGCATGAAATATGTACATTATTCATCAATGTAAGGTATGCAACTCGATGATCTCTCTCTCTCTCTCTTTATCAAGCAGCCACTCCCCTTGATGTTACACACATATCAGTGATGGCAACGGGATAGAAAAAAACTACACTCAAATGTACGACGCACGTGCTATATGTATCAATGCCGGTCCCCTTTATTTCTGTATGAGAGAGATGGATAAGGAGGCATGTCCATTGTTCATCAACGGGTCTCTTGTACTATTTGATCACCCTACTGCAATGAAAAGATGATGCTAAGGAAAGGAGAGAGCCGTTTCGCAGCAGCAGCAGCAGCATCACCAGGGGTCATACAAGTCGTGGTACTACCATACTAAGCGTCAGGGCGGCGTTGTTTGCAATGTTCATGTTGACGAAATGATCTTCTATAGTATGTGTCACGAGGACAATTGCCCTGAGCGACAAGGCCAACTACATACAACAACATGACGATGATGAAAGAAATACATGTAACCACCTAAGAAGCATGTTGATTACATACGCACATGCTCCAAAAAAAGCTTTCCCCGATACCAGTTTTTAATACTCAAAGACAATGAGCAAAAGGATCGAGACGCAAAATAATGAGCTAAAGGAGAATCTTTTGTATACTACGCAGTCGGGAAACAATGACGACAATGATCATAAAATCCAATTCTGGGTCTGTGTGCCTTCTTTTTTTTTCCGAAGTGGATGGAATGTTTTGTGCTTAAAGGTGAAACAAACGCGCCCGCCATGACAAGTGTGTGTGTGTGAACGCGCGCATGTTACGAGTGTTTTGTTTTGGATTTGCCTTTTGTTGTTGGCGTTGTGAGTTGCCTGATTAGGGATGAGATTTGTTTATCGTTGCAGAGAGAGAGAGATGGGATGGGATGGGATGAATATCTTTATATAACAAGTGTTGGTATGATTTGAACGTGGACTCCTTATTCTTCTTCCTCTTTCTCTTGTTCTCTTTTACACTTTTTGGTTGTGTCCTAATTTATATATATATCCTTGCTTAATCCTCCTCCATATTTCACTCTCTCTTTCTCCGCTTCTCTTTCATCACTCAGCAACTCTTTCTCTCTCTCTCACACACACACATACACGTCGTTGTCGTCGTTGTCGTTTAACAGCCATGTCCCAATCATCATCCGTCAGGTACAATAGCAACCGGTATACGACATCTACCCTTCTTTTTATTAACACCAAAGCAAAACAGGGTTGCTGTTCGTGTACGTCCTTTGACAGAGCAGGAAAAGACTCAGCATCATCACCAACAAGGCATCGTACGCTTTGTTCCCGACCAACCCCAAATCACAATTGGCAATGAGCAACGATCGTTCACATTCGACTATGCCTATTCTCCAACAGCCGAGCAACAAACCGTTTACAGCACATCCGTCATGCCATTGTTGCACAAGTTTTTGGATGGGTAACACACATGTATACACAAAAAACGCCATCCAACTTTATGCTGATCATATGTTTCCCACCCCACTTTTAGATACAACTCGACTATTTTGGCATATGGGTAAGCATATACCATACATGCACATCAACATACTTGATACTCATATACGACATATTTAGGCAAACGGGCAGCGGTAAAACTTACAGCATGGGCATCGGCATTGATTCGGCGTACAACACAGTCTCAACAGGAGGTGGCATCGTTCCTCGTTTCATCGACTCTTTATTCGAACAAATCGAGACTCGTAAAAGTTGCTCAGAGGCATATGGTGCTCAAGTCTTTGTGTCGTTCTTGGAGTTATACAATGAAGATTTGGTGGATCTCCTTAATCCAGTCAAAGGGATGAATCTCATGATCCGAGAAGATGCTCAAGGCAACATTTGTTGGTTTGGTGTACGTGAAGAGCCTGTCAATAATCCACAAGAACTTTTGGGGTATGTGCATATCAACCATTAAAAAAGGGGGTTGCCTGGTTACTAATACCATGACAACAACAACAATAGCTTACTTCACAAGGGATCCATTGCACGCACAACAGCCTCCACGGATATGAATCGTACATCCTCCCGATCACATGCCATCTTCTCGGTCATATTGAAACAACAAATGGATGATGGTCGACGTTTATGCTCCAAGTTTCATTTCGTTGATCTTGCAGGCTCTGAAAGGGTAAGTTAAAAATACATGTATACGTCCCCACTTTTATTCATTCCTTCTTTTAATATAGCTTAAACGTACAAATGCTGTGGGAGATCGAGCCAAGGAAGGCATTTCTATCAATACGGGATTATTGGCTCTTGGCAATGTCATTTCTGCTCTGGGTGATGAGTCACGAAAAGCATCCCATATCCCATATCGTGATTCAAAGTTGACAAGATTATTGCAAGATTCTCTTGGTGGCAACAGCCAAACATTGATGCTTGCATGCGTATCACCAGCCGAAGCCAATTACACTGAGACGCTCAACACATTGAAATACGCCAATCGAGCACGCAATATCCGTAATCGTGTTACAGTGAATCAGGAAGCTGCTGCGGATGCATCAATGACTGAACGACTTAAAGCCCAAATTGTGCGACTCAAAGAAGAACTTCGAGGCAACGATGACTTTTTACATGCTGTGAACGATGAAATGGATAATCTCAAAGCCGAGGTGGAAGATTTGAATCGTACCATTGCACACATGACTGAAGATTTGGCACGCACTCAATACGAACGTGACATGTTACGAGATGGGACACCTGACAACTTGATCGCCGAGTATGGAAAGACCATTGAACGACTACGTACCGAGCTTGCCATGACAAGTCGTGCACATCAACAACAACAGGCAGCAGCGGTTGCTTCGTTACCATCACCAGCACATACACCCACTCATGATATGGTGGATGATACAAAGCTCAACATGTCACCTCCTCTTCCTCCACCAGCTACAACAACAACTACTACAACAAAGCCTACTACCACACTCAAGAAACGACACAGCTACCGTTTTGGTTCCAAAAGATCATCCATGCGTACCTCACGTAAAAGTGGTGGTAGTAGTGGTGCAAATGGTGGTAGTGGTGCCAGCAATCGACGTAGTCTACAAGGCGGTGTGACACCACCTATGCCACGTACTCGCAATCTTGATCATTTCAAAAAGACCTTGATGGAGGAACGTCGATTCTTACAAGAACAAGATGCCATTAACAGCTTTGCTGATGCTTTCAATCCTGCCAAGGGACGTGATTCTGCTGTCATGCAAAAATTACGTGGATGTGTGGATGCCAAGCAACAATTGATTCGTATGCTCGAGCAGCATCAAGCTCAGACACAAGCTCAGCATCAACGTGAATTGGCTGAACAACGATCCCAATATGAAGCACGCCTCAAGAAACTTGGCAACGAAGTCACCAGCTGGAAACGGAAGCATGCTCAAGCTATCTCAAGTGCTGAAATGGCCCGTAACAAGAGCAACAGCGTGATTATGGGATTCAAGACCAAGCTTGAAAAGGCCACACAAGAAAAGAAAAAGCTCACCAAGCGCCTAAAGCAAGAGAGTGATCGTATGCGAGAGCGTACAAGTCATTATGAGCGAGAACTTAAGCGTGCCAAGCGTGCTGAGACACAAGCCATCAATGCCCGTAAGCGGACTGAACGAGATGCCATGCAACACAAACAAGCTGCCAAGCGTGCTGCTGAGGAGGTTGGCCAATTATCCAGTCAAATGAAACAAGTGGCTCTCATGTTGAAAAAGAGCCTTGCTCAAAAGCGTATTGATCGACAAGTATTAACCAAAGCCATGGCCTGTGCCAGTGTGCGTGGATACGTGGTGCGACAATCCTTGGGTCGATTCAAGAGTGCGCCTTTACAACAACGTGTCTATCAAAAGAAGCGACTTATTCAACGTGCTATTGCTGTACATGCATCCAAGAGCAATGCAGCTGTGGATGAATTACATGCACGAGAACAACGATTACTCGATGAACAACGTGAACTGCTGGCAGAACGCGAATTGGTGCTTGCTGAGGGAGATGATGCTTACATGGATGATCGAATCACTGCTATTACGCTTGAACTTGATCTTATTCGTTTACAATTGGCCAACATTGAACAACATCATAGCAAGGATGCTGATGATCCCGAATTGGATTCACCTGAACTCGCCTATCAAGTGGCCCTTTCCATTATCCGATCCCTTGAACCAGATGAAGCTCGTGTGGTAGCAGAAGCACTCATGGAACAAGTATTGGAGCTCAGGCAGCTACAAACGTCTCAAGTCATGTCCCGTTGTGCTGATGCTGTCGTTCTCAAATTGCATCAAGCCGTCATTGATATGCGTCATTCCCCCTCCGATCATGTCTTACTCAAAGCTATCCAGTCTACTCCCGTAAACGCCATTCAACAAGGCCCCATCGTCCCTATTTCTGTAACATAGTTTTCTTTTTTATATTTTGATACCCCCCCCATCAAGATACTTGCACATAGCTTTTATTATAAACTTTTTTTCCCAAATGTTCATAACACCACAACTGCTGCGTGTGGATATTGTAGTATAGTGCTGGATCAAAATGGCGTACATCATACATGAACAAATAATCTCGATCAAGTTACGTCAAAAGTGTATAAAAGACATTGTGTAAAAAGTGTATTTGAGCAAGACTGTACGGTAAAAAGGAGGAGGAAAAAGGGGAGGGGGTATTTTCAAGCTACTGTTACAATAAAAGACTATTTCATGAGGATGGTACGAGATCCACTGCTTGTGTTTGGTATATTGTCAGCCTTAACAAGCCGAACAGGATGATGATTACCCATGTGATCGACAGCCATGTACTTGTCTCCTGCAAGGTAGCATCCGGGTGCGGTGGTTGATAGGGTGGTGGATGAAGATGTCGATGAAACAGTAGTGTTGGTGGTATTACTAGAAGAAATGGTAGAACTTGAAGAGCTTTTCTTGAGATGGACAACAGGTTGGTTATTAAGAGAAGAGGAGGAGTATAATGTTGTTGATGAGGATGTTGTTGCCTGGGATAAACTGGGTCGGCGACCTGTAGTGGACAAGAATCCTTGTTGCGGTAATCCTTTGTTGTTGTTATTGATGCACAAGATGCTTTCTTCAAGCAAAGCACGCTCACGGATGAATTCGGAAAGTTCACACCATCCACCACCAACGCGCACCATCACCATGCCACTCTTGAGAATTCGGCAATATACAAGTCTTGGATGTCGATAGCCAAACCAATACTTGCCTACTTGACCAGGTACCATTTGCACTCGCACTGCACATTGGGTCTCGTTGACAACACGACCAATCTCAACATCCAATGCATTCGTTGGATCCGGTTCATAATGCGTTTGTGGTGGTGATGATGATGATGCAGGCTTGATAATCGATCGGGGTGGTAACCCATTGTTGTTGTTGCTATGGCGACGAACACGAGGTGTCAATGGCGACGACGATGATGAAGGTGGTATGGTGGAGCCGGCGCCACGAATCGTAGTAGTTGACTGTGGTAGAGGGGGTGAACCAGGACCAGCAGTAGTCATGGTAGTAGGGAATGATGCCAATCGACCACGTCGTTGGAGGCGTTGTTTCAACGTGGCAATACGATTTTGTGCTTGTTGCTGTACACTTTCCCATCGTTCATAAAGTGCCTCGAAATGCAAATCAACAGCACGTGGCATATCAACAATCAATTCAGCAGCTGCATCCATCTTGTCTTCAATGTGCTCGTCATAGTACTTTTGTTGTGCTTCCATGGCTTCCAGCGTACTTGATAATTGCTCCTTTTTGCTTGGCACAACAGCACCTGCAGCATCAACGTGATCCTTGAAGATGCTAATCATCAAATCAATATCATCCGATAACATCAAATATTCACTGATCGTCAAAGCACGTGCCACTCGGCATTGTGTATCCTCCACAGCACCATAAAATTGCTCAATAGATGCATCAACAGCTGCTTGTCGTTCCGCCAACTCGTCATTGTCAATGAGATCGGATCTTGATAATCGATGTTCTTCCAATAATGCTGCTGTACGTTCAGCCAATGTTTGTACACGTCGCTCCAACGCCAATGCTTCAGGTTCACGTAACATGGAATCGATATGATGATGACTTTCATCATCCACAAGCTGTTGCTGACACTGATCCAATTGAAAATGCGCACTCTTCAATATGGCTTCCATCTCTTCGAGCTGATACATGCATTGTTTGTACCGTGCTTCTTGTTGAGCCTTGGCATCAATGTCCTCCATCCACTCAAGCAAATGCATCCAAGCGTTTTCCACTTTAGCCAAACGACTTTGAGCGATACGGTGCATTTGTGGTTCATAAGTCGGTAACTTGAATGCTCGGAATCGTGCCATGGTGGGTGCATAAGCTTTGAGTTGTGCCTGGGTCACTGTACCACGATCCTCACGTACACGTATCCAATCCATGATTTCTTCAGCTGCACGTGTATGATCACCAATCACTTTGAGAGCCTCATGCATAGATGCCATGTGTTGAATAGATGCATGCAAGGCACGGCACACATGTACATCCTCAAGTTCACGTTCCAATTGATCGCATCGTGTTCGTTGTGTTGTAAGCAAAGCCAGCATCTCGAAATAATGTTCATGGATAGCATCCGCGTTCTTGTGCTCTGCCACATCAACCATTTTACTACAAGCGTCGTCAATCGTGGTGAACATCTTCTCGGCAACTTTACGTAAAGATTGCTGGTGTGCATCAAGTTCTTGTTGACGTTGTTGATCGGCCATTTGTGCAGCGTGTTCAGCTTCCATGGCACATACGCTATTGAACAACTCCACGTATCGCATACGAGCATCCATATCATCGTCATCCATTTGTGCTAGTGCTTCAGTAAGCAATTCTCGGCAGCGCTTGGTATCTTGTAATGAGGATTCAGCATAATCAAGCATTTCACGTGTGCGAACCCATCCCTGCATTTTGGTCACAAACGCAGATGCATCTTCGAAAGTCTCTTCAAGCATTCGATATTGCTGGTTCACATCATCACGTGTCGTCTTTGACAAGGAACAAAGCGCTCTCACATGTTCGACTTTGCGTGCGTAATCGTCCTTGACATTCGCTATCCGTTGTTCGAGTTGTTCAAGGATAGTAGCATCGGTCACCCATACTGCTCGAACATTGTGCATCTCATTGGCCACAATTCGTATTTGATCAATCAACTCATCCGCTGCATGGTTCATCTGCTGCATACGGTTGTCATGGTCACGGTTGACATCCGCTGTTGCTATGGCATCCATCAATTCCTGGTGCTTGAGAGATACATCCTTGTATTGTACCTCCATCCTGGATACGTGTTGACTACGCTTGCTGCTTTGAGCGATATGTACACGCATCACACTCAAACAGGTAGTGTCAATGTCCAAAGCGATTTCGGGCAATGATCGATCCATGGTCTTGAGGGCGTGTTGTTGCTCATCCACATACTGATTGTGCATGCTTTCAAGGTGATCAATCTGTGCCTGGAATGCATTCCAATGCTCCTTATCACGTATAGCCTCCTTGGCGACTTCCATGGCACATGTCAACTCCTCCAATGCATTCTTTGCCTGAGAATGGAGATTGTCGATAGTCTCAAGATCATCCGCATCAGTGAGGTGAGCCTTGGCAGCATCTGTTGCATGTCGAATGGCTTGTTCAATACCGAGGATATCCTTTTCATTGACTTTGATGGGGTCAGCTTTATGATCTGCACATGAATTGATGATGGCATCAAGGTCAGCGCGACACTTGTCAATGACATTCTTGCATTCGGATCGCCATGTGCTGTGTCGAGTAGAAGCATTCATTGCAGCACACTTTTCCTTGAGAGCAAAAAGCTTACTATCAAGAGCCTCACGAATACGAGCGTTGGTTTCAGCATCATTGCCATTGTTGGGGAAGACATGTAATACTGGATCATGGATACGTGTTGCCAGTTCGTCAATCAAATGAGTGAGCGTCTCGAGATCATTGACGTTGAATAAATCATCCATTTCAAGCATCAATTGCTGCATCAAAGAACATTGATCGGTCACCTGGCGAGCATGTAATATCGAATCAGGGATGTCGATAATACCTTGTTGCAAGGCGTGTGTTCTTTCATCCATCATGACGAGCGTATCTTTTGAACCATCAACAGCACCTTGCACAACCCAACGTCGGATACGATCATCTGGTACAGGCACATGGATCACACTTTGTTGTAGTTCATCAAGAATTGTTGAAGCATTGGATGGTGGTACAAGCGACTTTTGCGTGGTATGTACAATTTTGGCAATATCAGTATTCGTCTGATCCACTTTGCTAAACGCTGTGTCCATTTGCTGATGCCATAATGTCACCAGGTTCTGGTACTCGCTCAAACGTTGCATTCGCTCTTGTTGCTGTTGGAATTCCATTACTTGACGCTCGAGATTTCTCTGCTTTGTTGCTGTACATGATGAAAAGTCATTGTTGCCTGCAATACCAAATGCACGTTCCATAGCAAGATAATGTGCTTCGAGTTTGGTCATGCGATCATCCAAATTGTCTCCTTTGCCTATAAGGGATGTATTAGATTGCCATCCACTACTCAATAATACATAATAAATGTATATTTACCTTGGAGTATGTCATTCTCGATCGAATGATGAGTTGCTTCCCAAGTCTCCTTGGCATTTTGTGCTGCAATATCCAATGTATGCTGTTGAATTTCCTGGTTCAAATGGCTCGCTTGTTGTCGTAAATGATCCATGACATCGAATGCTGACTGCATGCTGATAAGCTTCATCGTCGATGGTAATTGTGTGAAAGCCTCTGATAATGCATCGATCTCAGAGTACAAATCGGTATGGTCGTCATCAAGTTGAATAGTTGAAATACGATTGCTGCATGTCGTTGCCCGCTCTACCAATGTCGAGACATGTTGTTTGACTTGGAGGGCGTCTTTGTATTGCTGCTGTAATGGCACTAACGAGTGAACAAGATGCTGAAGGATGTGACAAGATTCAGAAACAGCGTCATAAAATGAGCCGTCAGTGGATGGCAAAAATGGATCGGGTCTTGTAGAACGCACACCTTTTGGACATAGGCTAGTCAAGGTACGTGTATGATGATGTCGATCCAATGATCCAAATGTACGACAAAATTCATTTGCTTGAGCGACAAAAGTATCCACGACATGTTGATTGGGTGCAGGATATGGATGCTTGGTATCAAGAGTGGAAGCAGCTTGCTTGATTTCATGGTAAAGAATGACACCTGTCACTTTGATATCCAAAGCACTATCAACGATACCCTTGACACGAGCATGCTCAACTTGCAATGTATGGGTATATTGCACCAAGTCGGTAAAGTCCCGGATTTGATGGGTGAGCCAAATCGGCATCTCTTGCTCATCCATTTGGATGTCATCTTCATAGCTTGGTATGGATGTAGGTGAATCGATATCATGTTGACCACATTCAATAGGTGCCACAGCATCCCAAATAGCGTGCGTCTGCTCAGTCAATTTGGTCGATAATTTGGCATGTTCTTCGTGTCGTTGAATCATAGCAAGCTGCTCATCCAATTGTTGTCGAAAATGCTTCATCGCAAAATCCAAAGTGGCCAGTGCTGTGTCAATCGTACGTTTCTTTTCATCCATGACTGCATCAGCATTTAATAATGGTTCCAATTTCCCAATACGAAATGCTTCAAAAGACGATGCATAGCTGTGCCATTCGTGATCCAGTTGTTCCCAATCGTTACGATCCATGGCACCTTCGATCGTATACAGCATAGAGCTCGCGTCATGAATTGTAGATGTTCGAGAATCCAGCCATGATATACACATGTCGGCGTGAGACATCCATTGTTGAATAAAAGCTGTATGATCCAATTTACGTTTATGTTGTTGTAATGCTGTATCAAGCGAGTCTTGAAGCGAAACAAGTCCAGCTTTTCGATCGTGGACGCGTTGCCAAACGGGTTGATTGTCAACATGCTTCGGATATGGAATACGTGCAGCTGTACGTTCAGTGAGTGTGGTAAGACGATCTTTGAGTGCATTGACATTGGCTGTAGCTTGTTCCCAATCCCAATGGTCCATTGCATTCTTGATCACGTGGTCGACTTCCTCTTCCAGCTCATTGCTTTGTTGCATAAAAGCGTGAAGATGTCGTTGTTGTTCAGCTTGTTGATGCTCACGCTCTATAGCTTCAAGAGCAAGACGATGTTGTTCTTCAAGGCTGCGTAGCTGTGATGACATGTGATGATCAGCTGTGTATCCATCGAGTCGGGCAAAAACAAGACGAGCTTTGGCCATGAGATCCTTATTGGCTGGGTCTATTTTGGCCACCTGTTGTGCATGGCACCAGTCATCTTGCAGCCGTGCCACGTGTTGTGCATGTTTGTGTTGGCGTTCAGAGACCTTTTGGCGTAAGAGTGCCTGCCGAGGTGCAGTAATCAAACGATGCAGGATGGTATGTGAAAGCATGTCGTTTCCCTGCAGGGACTCTTGTTGTAGTGCATCGTGTAGCTGACTCATATCATCATCATCATCGGTAGTATAAGATGACCACACTTTGATCTGGGCCAGCCAGCTATAAAGATGATCGTATTGAAGCTGTAGCACATTTGAAGTAGTTGTGTTTGTCGTTTGTTGTTGTTGCAAAGTCGAAGCATGTGTCATGATCTGTTCCAGATTACTGAGCCAATCGTCATCAAGTACCGTGGCTGAACTCAGTTTCAGGTGCACAAATTCGAGTAGACTACACAGTTGTTGGCTCATCTTGTCATCATCATCATCATCATCTACAGTAATACACATGATGAGCATACATATCATTTTACTGTACCGAAAAGAAAGACATACCATGATTGATAGTAGTAGCTGTGGCATGGATCTCGTACATATACTCGAGCAAATTGGATGATGATGATGGTGATGATGGGGTGAGTTGCCAATGTTCCTGAAATAGATTCTTGGCGATAGAGATATTGTTGTTGCTATTGCCAACGCGTTTGAGCCGTACAATCAAATCGGGTAGTGAAGATGGGAAGAAACGATGAGCGAGACAAAGCAACAAGTCGATACAAAAAGTAGTGTCGAGATAAAAGTCGGGTGGGATAGGTGGGATGATTCGTACGGCTGTATAAAGAGCAAGTTGTGTTTGAAGCCACTCGAGTAAAAGCTCTACGTTGCTATAGAGAAAGCTGTATTAGACATGGTGTAGTAGGTGAAGAATGAATAGAACGTACTGTTTGGTTGATGGTGGCATGGGTGATTATACACGACAAGAAGAGGAAGAAGGAGAGAATGAAAAAGAGAAGAGAAGAGAAAAGAGAGGAGAGAGAGAGAGAGAGAGAGAGAATCAGGAAAAGGAATGGAAGGGGTTTTGTGGGGTGTGAAGGGGTGGTGATGATGATGACTGAGCTATGGGCAAAGGAAGGGCGCGTGTTTATGAACAAGCTTGGGCCTTATGCAAAAAGCAAAGGTGACATAAAAAAAGTGTAAACAATAAGGAAGGGAGAAGAGAGGAAAAAGAGAAAAAGCTAGAGTGACGATCCAACAATTGAGGGAGTTTGGTCACCATGCAGCTGCTTGACCTCCTTTGATGGCAACGGGGCACAAGGGCTATCGTCAACCAGTGAGCCAATCACATTTCTTTCCCATTTCGATGATAACCATCCATCCTCCTCTCACACTACCAATCATCTTGATAGATCCCATACCTTGTCCTTTCAATGTTGCCATGTATTCATCTTGGGGGTGATGTAGCTTGTAGCTGGCGTTGCTGTGATACAGACATATTCCCAAAAAAGGACATTGCCGGACCATGCGGTATCATCTCCAATGGCCGCTCTCGCGTTGTTGACAACCTTTTAAAGTGTACAACGCACACCCAATTAGCATGCATATCTTGTGTGATGTCGAGCATTGCTCACGTGCCTTTAAGCAGATAAAAGTGACAATCCAAATTCTAAATGATGCTGCAGTATATGATTCCTCTTCATTGAGTCATGTCGTTGTTGATAGGTGTATATCACGAGAAAGAAAAAGAGAGAGATTGAGAGAGAAATGGAGCATAATGCTGCTGTATCTTGATTAAAAAGACTGGTGATCCACATGTACATGCGTATGCGTGTTGTATACAACAAAGTTGACATGAAAAAAGGAGATCGATTCATCCAAAGACTGTGTGCAATCGTTTATTTGGTATCATCATTGTCCTCAGTCTTTTGCTTTTTCTGCTGTTGTTGTTGTTGTGCGTTCTGCTTCCGTTTCTGACGCCTTGCTCTTTTCTTGGCTGTCCTTTCCTCATCTTGTGCTTTCATGGCTGCTCGCTCCTCTTCATATAACCGTTGTTCATATTCCTAATGTCCATCATTAAGTATATCGTATCTTCTTTGAATCGATCCCATTGCATACTCACTTTACGCTCCTTTTCATCCATCTCTTTTAATCGAGCATACTCCCGCCTTCGATGTGCACGATACACGTGAAAGTCGCCACTACCTGCACCAGCACTGGAACCTATACTTGAACATGATCAGATACCATTACTATCACCTTCCCCTTTCCACGATGTCACTTTACCTGGAACATTGCGAACAAAATCTTTGGGTGCTTTGACGCTCTTTTCTTTGGGTGGCTCTGGAATGTGCACTGGCTTGTCGATCCGGCTAAACATCTTTTCCAATTGTTGTTGCGTCTTTTGAGTCACAGAGAGCTTGTGTCGACTAACACGTTGTTGCTGATCGTCCTTTTTCTCGTCTTCGGCCATTGGATCAGTGAAATGGGAGAATGCAGTTGAGAGAGAAAAGAAGTATGAGAGAGAGAGCCGCCTTCTAGAAAATGATCTCCAAATTGAGAACCCGTCCCAGTAGTTGTAGTAGTAGCAACCGTTGCCATAGGCATCATATTTGCTCAATTGATAAATCCTTCTTTTTGATTGCTTATTTGCATCTGATGGAGTCATTAACGCTTGATTCTCTATTAATTGGTATCTTCAATGTAACAATGAATGCATGTGCCTGTGCTTTTTCACCTCACTTGGTAGTCTCTTGCCCTCATTTACTTTATCATCATCAGCTTATTGTACATGATGTTATTGGTTTGGACAGTACATGAATGAATACCGTATCTCTTTAACGCTCAAACATCTCTTATTATCATTGTCCATTGATCATTGGTATAAGGATACTCGCTTGACAAGATACTTTTTGAGGTCCTTGCTCACACGATGCATAAAGTGACAAGCCATGATCAATGCCGTCGACAATTATCACTCTCAAACAGCTACACCAATCAACAGAGCATATAGCGGCAGCAGGATTGACATGGTAAGCATAAACATCACGATTACAAAGGAAACTTGCTGGACTAATCCTGAGTCTGTGGCCTATGGCCATGGGGAACAGAATTATGATAGAAGGTTTATAAACGTACCGAGGGTAAAAGGTCTCTACATATATAAGTAAAAGAAAGGATACAGAAAGAAGAAACGAAAGATCACTGGTACATCTGTATACATGTGTATGTATTTTTGAATAAAGTTTATTGTAGCCAAGTATGAAGGAAGGTGTACTATCCACTATCATCCGCCTTAGGTGGGCAATACCAGGTTTCGCAATGTCGCAACCAGCCAAATTGGTGCTGTAATCTCAATCTTATGCAACCATCGCTTAAAGCAAAGCGGGCAAATTCCACTTTTGGTTGCTGGGACTTGTCCTGGTTAATACGATCTCCCGATGAACTGGTGGCCAATGTCCCCTCGAGGTCTGTTTGGTCAGCCAACAAAACGCATGTAGCATCACAACCATCTCTTCCAGCTCTTCCAGCCTCTTGCACGTAGTCGATTAAACTTCCAGAGCGATAAAGATGGAGCACAAGCCGAACATTGGGATAGTCGATACCTGCTCCAAATGCAGATGTGCCAACCATCACCTTACATAGGCTACCAGAGCGCCATGATTTCGATGCCTCCTTCTTATCATCGTCCTCTATTCCCCCATGATAATGCATGGCTTGGGTCCAGGTAAGATCACGAGGACTTTTGGTTGCCATATCCTCTGTCATCTCTTGAGTTGGACAGTATACGATGGCTCGCCCATTGTTACACCGCAATTCTTTGGATATAGATTCAAGCAACAGTTCAAGAGTTGTAAGCGTAAGGTACTCCTCCTCGACAAACTTGATATCGTACAGGAGCCTTGGGCGCATTGTACATGCACGAACAACCCGAGCGAATGTCGTCCCAAAATCAACATGCGTACTTCAATTGATTGTGCCACTCTACTTCCAACACACGCTCTTGCACACTCGTCTGCAACGACCAATCGTAACAGCAGCTGCCATTAGCAAGACCTTTACTCCCTTGTCTTCAACAGCGTTCTTTACTTGCAGCAACTTGGCCTTACAGTCCTTGTTACGTGGACAGCAGATAGCCATTGTATAGCAGCAGCTTTATTTACGTGTAGCAACTTGCTTCAATACAATCGAATTTGAATATGGATATGGATCTGAATATTGCATTGCTTCGTTACATGGGATGAAAGGAATGGATGCATTGCCAGGTTTGGTTCCTTTGGTTCATTTAGAACGTGATGGCTAGTTTGGATGACATGCTATGTATCAGCCATCAACTATACTGCAATACAGGCAAACTTTAGCTGGAAGCGCTGCGATGGAAAATGACCAACAATGAAAGAGATCAAGGGCCGGATGGAAAAGGAAGCATATCAGCAGCGATCTCTGGGGCTTCTTTCTACCAACGTATTGGATTTGGAATGGTTATGGTGGATGGTTTGAATCAATGAAGTGGGTAAGAATCGTGTTGACTACTTGTCGCGTTGTCAACAGGAAGATGGACTACATTGCATGGATACGGCTGAGGATGATGATGGATTGGAATGGCATTTACGAACGGTGCTTACAGCCACCATGGATGGTATCGGAATACTCGGGCCAACTCATGCAGCAGCTATTTTCCAATCATGGATGAAGGATGTTTACGGCGGCAGCAACCACCTATCCAGTGTTACTATCATTGCTGTTGTCGCTATGTGATTCACTCGCACCTTATTCAACTTGTAACCCTGCCCCTTCATCTTACTTACTTGCTAAACACCCGCTTTGACTTCTATTAAATGTACATTGGATCAACATAATATTGAGTATATGATACTATGTGAATGATGCAGATAAATGGATTGTTTTCTGGATTGAAAGGGAAAGAGAAGTTAGAAGTTTGGGAAAGCGAGATTGGATCATTCACAACATTATCGTATCCAAGATGTTTTGTTCCCTTCTTCTGTCATATTACATTCATGTTAAGTTTCCTAATTCACATGCTGATAGACGGTGTTATATGGGAATTCTTAAACGCTCCTTTCACAAAGGTAATAAAGCCAAGGAGTGATGTTGACCAACAATTGGGCTTGTTGCATCAGAAGTTCCAGTGTATGATTGATCCATCATACGCATGGAAGAGTGAGCTTTGATACAATGTCGCACAAATAGATAAACGCACCACAATTACCTATCAACTTTTTCAGCGCATTGTGCCTCATACATTTTTATATGAGAATGAGCCATTCCATACGAGCTACCATAATAAGCGGTCCTTACTATACGCAGCCCAGGGCAAAAGTCTATCATGCATTGATCCCACCAATAGCATCTACCCATCAAATTCTGTCCGCTCCGCTTTGATGCCCCTCTGCATCTTTTGCTCTGCCAGGTCCACCTACTTGACAATGAACAAAGACCACTCTTCATATAACATCACGCTTACAAACTTAAAGGTGCCTGTATCTCCGAACTTTACAATGAAACGTGTGGTTTTTATTAGAGCAATGTGCTCGGCTTGGCCAACAGCACCTTGTGTGAAAGTTTCGCGTTCAATGTCGCAAACAGCCCAAAAAATATTTTTTGGTCGTCGTCGTCGAAGAGGTCGACCCCCAGATCCAGTTTGGCTGGTAGCGACATTGCGAAATCTGGGATCGCCCACGATGAACTTCATACTTTGACACAAGATTCCTTTGACCCCGACGAGCACGTTGATCTATTAAAAAGCCCACGTTTGATTGTAAAGTTTGGAGATACAGGCACCTTTATGTTTTACATATGCTGTAAGGGTGATGCTATATGAGAAGTGGTCTTTGTTTAATGTAAAGTAGTATGACTATAAATAGAGCAAAAGATGCAGAGGGCGTGTTTGTGTAACTTGAGTCATTCAGCACAGGCGATGCATGATTCTTGTACACTGTTTAGGAATAGTTCAAAATGCCAGCTAATATCCTTAGTCCTCCCATTCTACATTGTTGTCGAATCCAATGCATACGAACGATTGTCCTGCTCCAGCCTAGCATGCCCATCATTCAACTTTCTTGATCCGATGAGATTTGACTGAAAAACGCTCAAACACAGAAACATCATCCAATATCAGAAGAATCAAATTGGTAAGTTATTTGTAAACCTGCCGGCTAACAGCCCATTCCTCCCATTCACCTTTGTTGTCCAATCCAATGCATACGATCGATTGCCCTGCTCCAGCCCATCATTCCCATCATTTAACTTTCTTGATTCGAGGTAACCTGGTAGTAAAGGCAATGGCTGTTGTTGGATCATCATTATCATGTAAAGTGTAAAATGGCACACACCCTTTTGCTATACGTGAGGATCATCATTTCTTTTATTTACGTGTACCTATTGTCTATCGTGAGGGTGATGACGACGATGGGTGGATGATGTGTATAGGGTAATTGATGAGCGGCCTCAGTGTAATAGCAGTAGGGGATTTAAACTTGGGCGCCGGTAGCTCCACGACTTGAGACAACGCTTCTCTTCTCTTTCTCACTCCTCTGCTTTTATTCCATTCACGACATCTCGATCAAGGTAATGTATTATCAAAGAGTGCTCTTGTTGGCTGTGAGGTGTTAATGTAGTTCTGAACATGCATTGTCAGGGAGTGAGTGTGTGTCCAAATGCTGAGGAATGAGCGTGGTTGGTGGTTGGTGGTTGCCATGGCGATATGGTTGCTTCCTTTTGCTCGTTGCTATTCCCGCTCTACGCTTGGTGTCAACAGGTACATTCAGAGTCCAATGTTGCAGCCGAATTGGTTCCATTGACGCGTCAGCTTGTATAGAGGGCAAGTTTGGTTTCAAGACGTTGGCTGGTTTGGCGTTTTGTTTCGGCTCAACTATACTACTACACCATGGTTTTCGTTTTCCAGTAACCAACAACAACGGGTCTTTGTGTATATGGAAAAGGCAAGTGCAATGAAACAAACAATGAAAAGGGTGTTTATTGTGTGTGTGCTAATAATGAATTGAATAGGTTTCTTTGGTCAGGCAATGCAACTTGGGGGCATCATCATCATCTCTTTGGGTTCAAGTCCCAGCCTGTATCAA